AAAAAAATAACAAACAAACTTCAGAATGATAAACTGCTTTTTCCAGAGAACATCTTCAATCTGTAATAACTCTCGGCGAAACCGTTTTTCCTTGTTTTTCATTTGTCAAAACTTAGTAATCCTTAAAATGCAACTGCTGGCAATCCGATCGTAATTTTTATTGAAAAAAAGTGGAAGAAAACGATTGGTACTTGATTTTAAATTATTTCAAACTTGATGAATGAGATTCAACTACAGGGATTATCGAGCGTAGCGAACAAGTGACGGTGCCTCCATGTAGAAAACAAAGATACATAAAAATAAATTGTGCCGAACAACTATTATCAGTAAGCGGTTCAATTGATAAAAATTTATCTGCTGCAGTCAAGGTATAAATTATCGTCACTATCTGAAAAACATTTAATATATTTAAGTACTATTTGCATGTTTACGAAACTGTTTTTGATTTTTTTTTTAAATTATCGTCAAACTTTAACCGGATTTTAATAAATTAATTCGAAAAGAACTGCTCTCTTTAAAAAGGAGGTATGAAAATGATTCGTTGGATTCGTTTTGTACTATGAAAATTGCCAAGNGGGAAATCCCCTCCTCCTGAAGGGGAATCTCACAACTCTTTTGCAACAATGAAGCAGTAAATGAAGAGGTAGAGGTGGGGAATGAATGAAAGCTCATAGCTGATAAGGAAATTCCAGTCATTCTTATCAGCTCTGTATGGATAACAAAGAATATAAAGGGGAATCCCCTCAGAAGGAGTAATTCTTCCATCTCCTTGTTTTCCCCCCTTGTGATGAAAGAAAACTGGTTCTTTCTTAACTTGGAAGCTTAGGAAGCAGGGACAAGTTCTTTCATCCCCCAACAAAAAAAGGACTAGTATCAGCTGGTACAGTCTAGTCTAGAAGCATCTGTTTCGGTTATAAGTTGAAATTCAGCTCGCGTTTTAAGCCTATATTTTTAGTTTAAATTGCTAATATTATGTTATCTAAACGATCGATTGTGGGGGAAAATGACGAAAGTTTGATTCTTAATGTACTTTATTTATTATTTAGAGAGTATATTTATGCTAAAATTGACGTCGGAGGTCTACACACGCGTGATTAATCGCGAAATCGGCCTGGCGAATTCGAAACTTCGATAATTCTATCAATTCAAGTAAGGTATCTAAAATCCGGAAATTTCGGAAATCCGGACCATCCAAACCCCCCAGCAGCCCGGATTTTCGAGGTTGCACTGTATATTTAAATACTATTTGCATGTTTACGAACTATGACCTGTTTTTGATTATTTTTTAAAATTATCGTCAAACTTTAACCGGATTTTAATAAATTAATTCGAAAAGAACTGCTCTCTTTAAAAAGGAGGTATGAAAATGATTCGTTGGATTCGTTTTGTACTATGAAAATTGCCAAGTCGATTCAGCAGCATGAAATACTATTTCATTTTTCACCAATTTATGGTTAAAAGAGCTCCACTTAGTTCTAATTACATAATCATTCAATTTTGTCTAAATAGTTATGTCTTTTTGAAAATATTGATTTGCAAATTGACCGTAAATTTCAAACTATACCAACAGTTTAATTGGGCAAACAGATAAAATTTCGGTACTCTTACCGTTGTTTTCATATTTCAGCCATATTTCTGCTATTATTTCCTAAGATTTAAAACAAAGCACAATTTTAAAATTTGTTAACCTAAAACCCCTTGNGTGCAGCGCACATTCTATACCTATACTATTCAAACAACATCTGACTTACTTCCAGTTGATGTTGAAAATATTTTTGCAAACATTTATTCGTATTTTTATATATATATAGTGCGTGTTGAAAGTTTGACTAAATTGTAATTCTCATTTCATCAGATTTGTCCCGCTTTATCTCAATAAAAATGTGGTCACTTTATCCTATGCATGGAGAAACCGCATTAGGATCCATGTCCTCGCTTAGAATAAAGTTATTTATTCTTGTTTCTGCTCCGTTTTGAGATGTTACTTGAATAGTTTTCTGTACGTTTTTATCTCACCCCATATAAACTTCGAACTCCAATAAAACTGAAAACGTCACAGAAAACAAGTAAGCTAAAGGCGTGAAAATATTTTCGTACAATCTTTCGAATCTGACTTTAAACCAATAATTTGCTTTTACCACTATTGAGGCATCTTGAAAAAATTTATTCAGTAACAAAGTAAACAAGAAATTTAGCTCAGCAATTTGTGCTCAGCATTCAAGAACCTTGCTCTTCTGTTTATTTATAATACTTAATTTTGTTAATCTGAAATGCTCTAATGTTTATAAACATTATTATTTCTCAAAATTCCGATTGCTATTTTTTAAATGAATTATTATCTTTAATTCTTTGTTAAGTAACTTGTATACAAGGATATTAAGTTTGCAATGTTCTATCTCGACCTTAAAACCTCTCTAGTTCGTTTTCCTTCTGGGGTCCATGTGAGAGCAACAGTTCTTTTTTCTCCAGTCATTATTTGTAAAATAATAAATACAAGTATTATTCAAGTTAATTTAAAGACAACTGCAAGCTTAAAGCAGTGCATCAAATTTAAAATACCAGTTTTTTTTAATTGATTATAAAATCTCTAAAATTTCCTTTTTCTAGAATGTTATCTAAATGGTTTGAGAGTTGGTGTGAATTGGATTGTTTTTTTTCTCTCATGTTGGTAACTTAGCATATTTATGTATTTAATTTAAAATATTTTTTGCTTTCTTACTTAGAGGGTGAAAATGTTGAACATCCTTGAAGTATTTTTGGATACTGAAGATGAAGTATTTTGGATGCTATGAAAGAATTGATGTTGGTATCATTGGCAGTCAAAAACAAAAAGCTATCAGCTGACCTGATGGCTAGTTATTAATTAAACTACCCTTCTATTTTTCGAATTTTATGTTGTTGCATGTGGTTAAATGAAATCATTGCCTCTTTATAATCATGTTTTATGTGGAAAAAAAAAATCCTTTAAACTGTCAATTTTTCTAAAGTATAAAAGTAGATGAAACTTCACAAATAATTTTTAATTTGATAAGTACTATTTTAAAAGAGAATAATTTAAACAATAAAATTATTGCCCATTGTGCTGATAACACTAATGTAAATTTTGGTGGAAAAGCTAGAAGAGGCATCAATAATGCTTTTACGAAACTTAACGAACATTTGAACCAAAAAAATATTGGAGTAGGTTGTGCAGCGCACATTCTATACCTATACTATTCAAACAACATCTGACTTACTTCCAGTTGATGCTGAAAATATTTTTGCAAACATTTATTCGTATTTTTATATATATATTGTGCGTGTTAAAAGTTTGACTAAATTGTAATTCTCATTTCATCCCATTTGTCCCGCTTTGTCTCAATAAAAATGTGGTCACTTTATGTTATGCATAGAGAAACAGCTTTAGGATCCATGTCCTCGCTTAGAATAAAGTTATTTATTCTTGTTTCTGCTCCTTTTTGAGAAGTTACATGAAGAGTTTTTTGTACGCTTTTATCTAACCCCGTATAAACTCTGAATTCTAATTAAGCTGAAAACGTCACAGAAAACAAGTAAGCTAAAAGCGTGAAAATATTTTCGTACAATCTTTCGAAACTGACTTCCAATAATTTGTTTTTACCACTTTTGAAGTATCTTATAAAATTTATTGTAAAAAATTTATTCAGGTAGAAATTGTTATTACAAAAGATTATAAAACTGAATGAATAAGAAAGTGCTCAACATTGAAGAACCTTGTTCTTCTGTTTATTTATAATACTTAATTTTGTTAATCTGAAATGCTCTAATGTTTATAAACATTATTATTTCTCAAAATTCCGATTGTTATTTTTTAAATGAAATATGATCTTTAATTCTTTGTTAAGTAACTTGTATACAAGGATATTAAGTTTGCAATGTTCTATCTCGACCTTAAAGCCTCTCTAGTTCGTTTTCCTTCTGGGGTCCATGTGAGAGCAACAGTTCTTTTGTCTCCAGTCATTATTTGTAAAATAATAAATACAAGTAGTATTCAAGTTCATATAAGACAACTGCAAGCTTAAAGCAGTGCCGCAAATTTAAAATGCCAGTTTTTTTTAATTGATTATAAAATCTCTAAAATTTCTTTTTCTAGAATGTTATCTAAATGGTTTGAGAGTTGGTGTGAAATTTACATTTTTGTAAAATCCTCGGATTATTTTTTTTTTCTCTCATGTTGGTAACTTAGCTTATTTATGTTCTTAATTTAAAATATATTTTGCTTTCTTACCTAGATGGCAGGGTTGGGTTTTTGACATGACTAGGGTATAATACTGGTTTAAACCAAGTTTGCCAAGAAAATATATAAACTTCAAAACTACCAACAGTTGCCATACATTATATTGAAATTTAATTATACTATAGGTAATCAGCAGGTTTTAATTAAAATTAAGGTAAAATAACAGATTTAAAATCTCAGAAATTTATATTCAAATGCATGCGCAGAAAAATTTTGCACAAAAATTTTTTATATTTTGAAAAAAAAATTTATTTTTTGATACTTAAGAAAATTAAAAGTTAATGAAAATCCCGCTTGATGCGTTCTTCTATCAACAGATCAAATTAATTTTTTTTATTCCACAACTCTCTCACAAACTTTTTTCTAGTTTTTTGAACAAGAAAAACTTGCTTTTCAGCTGTATGGAGCAATTCTTGCATTCTTTCTGTTCCATTTGTCAATAGGGGGGTGAGTAACAAGCATAAAAACTACAAAGCATAAAAACTCTAAAACAATTTTTACTTGCAAATGTAAATCAAGAAGCAAATTTGCAAAAAAATTTTAGTATTGAACGAGTTGTATATGAAATTGTCGCTAAAAACAAAGAGGAAGTGAAGATTACTAATCTTTTCCATTAATTTAACTGGTAGGTGTCAATTTTTAAAAATATGCATAAATTTTTCTTAATCCCGATTTTGCGTTATTCCGCTTCGAGCGTTTTTTATCGCTAGTCCCACCGAAAACGTAAAATCAGGGTTTCACTGTATATTGTCCTAAATTCTTATGAATCAAAAAATTGTGCAAAGTTATTTTAATTGGTAATCACATTTTTTTATTTATGTTTTTTAATATTCCAAAAAAATCAGTTATCAGTTTTATTACTAATTCAATGGTATATATATTTATTTTTAAAGTCTTACAAAATTATATGCATTTAAGGCACAATTAGTTTTTCTTACATTGTCAATAGTTAATTCATTATTAACTTTGAAGAAAAATTCAATTATTACAATATACATATAAATTATTAAAATCACAATTTTTTAATTTTCTTTATTTGAGAGTGGTTATGGTTTAATAGCCCTTAAATTCACATTTCTGATTATAATTCCCAATATTTGTGACTTAAAAAGTAACACCTGAAAGAGAAGAGATTTGCCTGAAATATATTTTTTAAATGCAAAAGTTTATTTAGGTGTTAAGTAATTTTTTTAAAGAATTGATCATACAAATCTGTTTCGGAATATGAATACTACACAATTCTTTATTTAATCCGTATTCAGTTGTGAATTGATGATCTGAATAATAAATGAATAATAAATAACTGAATAATAAATGCCCAATGTGTTAAATTGGCTGTAATTTTTTTTAAATTTCTACGTCTCTAATACTAATAAATTAATAGAAATATAGCTTAATATTAGTATGATTTTCAAAGGGATATAAATTATATGCTAACATTAATGTTTTAATATTTCTATATATTAAGTTTAAACGAGATCATGAAGTTTGTGCTCCAACAGAACAAAACTGCTCTGCAAAAATGAATAATAAATAACTGAATAATAAATGTTCAATGTGTTAAATTAGCTGTAATTTTTTTTTAATTTCTAGGTCTCTAATACTAATAAATTAATAGAAATATAGCTTAATATTAGTATGATTTTCAAAGGGTTATAAATTATATGCTAACATTAATGTTTTAATATTTCTGTATATTAAGTTTAAAGGAGATCATGAGGTTTGTACTCCAACAGAACAAAACTGCTCTGCAAAACTCTAAACAATGATTTATATATTTTATTATGTAAATAACATAATAATATTTTTTTAATATTTAGTATTGTCATTTAATTCCTAATCTTTTAGAGAGTTATTAATTTATAATTCTTACAAGAATGAAGAAAGCATATTATTATTTTTTATTTATTGATTTTCTTTTTTAAAAAAGATGTTTATCATAAATTAAATGCTGAACTTAAGTTTGATTAGGACATAAAAAGGTGAAATTGCTTACAACAAAAGCATTAAAAAAATGATAATTAATTGAAATTAATTTTATTTGCATTAATATCTTTTACTCCTAATTGGTATAGAATAAAATATAAGTATAGAATAATTCTTAATAAATTTAGCTTAATAAAGTTTATCTTCTTTAATTTTTTGTTTTATGAATAATTTTATAAATAAATTTAAACGTAGAATTTATAGTTTGAGTTTTATCTTTTATATTAAATTTACAAATTCAATGTAAATGAACAAAACCTGTTTATGAACTTAGTTTCAACAAATTTCATAAATTTTAATTCTATTCTCTGTGATAATTAAGGATTTCTTCCATTTCATCCAGTTTAGTGCTTGACACGTGCTTGCATTACAAGCTATTAATTTTAGTGCAATCATTACTAATAATAATTCAAAATATTATAATTTTATTGAAAACTATTTAAAACAGCACTAATTCAAGGAATTAATTTTTATGATGGGTCGCTCCTGGGAGAGCAACCCCCCTGTGTAAAGAAGGGACAGTGAGTAAACTTTGTTTTTGTTTTTACGAAAATAATTCGAAATAATATTTTCATTTAAGGTTTGTTATAGTAGTGTAAAGATTAAAGTGTTAAAATTCTGAGTCGAAAACTTAAATCCTTTAATTTTCTATAAAGATATGTTTACTGGACTGTTCTAAATTGATTATATCGGGAAATTTATTTGAGCTAAGTCAAATAAAGAATGAATAAGTCAATACGGTAGGGGTGCTCAACCTGCGGCCCGCGGGCCAAATGCGGCCCGCCAACCCTCGATGTGCGGCCCGCGGCCACAATCTGAACAAAATGAGAAAAAAAAATTAAATATTTGTTTTTGAAAAATAATAAATAAACTTGGTAATTTAAATTTACACTTTTAAGTTTTTGACGCACCCAATCTCAATCAATAAGTTTATTTATGTGTTAAGTAATTTTTTTGAAGAATTGATCATACAAATCTGTTTCCGAATATTAATACTACACAATTCTTTATTTAATCCGTATTCTGTCGTGAATTGATGATCTGAATAATAAATAACTGAATAATAAATGTCCAATGTGTTAAAATAGCTGTAATTTTTTTTAATTTCTACGTCTCTAATACTAATAAATTAATAGAAATATAGCTTAATATTAGTATGATTTTCAAAGGATTATAAATTATATGCTAACATTAATGTTTTAATATTTCTGTATATTAAGTTTAAAGGAGATCATGAAGTTTGTACTCCAACAGAACAAAACTGCTCTGCAAAACTCTAAACAATGATTTATATATTTTATTATGTAAATAACATAATAATTTTTTTTTAATATTTAGTATTGTCATTTAATTCCTAATCTTTTAGAGAGTTATTAATTTATAATTCTTACAAGAATGAAGAAAGCATATTATTATTTTTTATTTATTGATTTTCTTTTTTTAAAAAAGATGTTTATCATAAATTAAATGCTGAACTTAAGTTTGATTAGGACATAAAAAGGTGAAATTGCTTACAACAAAAGCATTAAAAAAAATGATAATTAATTGAAATTAATTTTATTTGCTATGATATCTTTTACTCCTAATTGGTATAGAAT